TTTCATATATTTATATATATTATATATATGTATATATAAAAAATATATGAAAATGCATGTGGGTACTTAAATGAAAGCTCTTGATGAGTACAACATCGGGATGAGCTTATATCTTAAAAAACTTCAATATTTAAGAAAGTACATTGCAATTTAAAAAAAGTAATTGTTTAATTAAGCTAAATTTTATTTATTTATAATTTACAAGTTACAGCAGTCACGTAGTGACTGCAAGTTTGCTAGTTATTATTATTATTATTTTGTCTTAAAAATTATTATTATCATTATTAATTTTTTGATAAATAGTAATAATAATAAATTTCATTATTATTAAATTGCTTGCTATAAATTATTTTAATTTAATTAGACATTCAAATTGCGCGCGCATTTTTTAAAATCTCTCAAGTTGCCAACTTAATAAAATAATAAAAAATGATTGACAGGTAAACGATACGCATCAATGTGTTCACTCCGTTTTTTATTTGCTACAGGAAATAAATTAAGTTTGACAAACAAATATCGACAATCGTATAATGAATGAATGTAAACTAACAATAAAAACAATAACAACAATGTGAAAGTACATACTAATGAACTGGATGAACTCGGCCCGCCCATTGTTTGATATCCTCGCTCCATCGCGCAATGTTATCGAATCCAAACAATCACCTCTTTGTACAATATTTATATTTTTATCTGTATTTACATATATGTACATTCAGAAAAAACAAACAAAATATAAAAACCCAATAAAATTATAAAATTAACAACATGTTAATATTATCAAACGGTACATATCGTATTATCGAATTAGCGAGCCGCGATACGGCAGGTTTCTTTAACTGGGACAACTACTGTCAGCTATTTCATCTCCATCTACATCAACTACTCAACAAGTTTTATTCTACAATTCCTTTTACGACAATGTTATTTTATCAATTTAAGTTGCTGGAACTTGTTCCACACTTGCGCGCTTTTTAATTATGATCTAAAAAAGTAAATAATCTAAAAACAAATTATCTAAAAAACTTTTATAAATAAATTTAATGATTTAATTGTTTCAAATGTCATAATTTGTCCCGTTAAGTTAACAATTTTTTATTTTTTTTTCTAATTTAATGAAATTTAAAATAATATTTTAAATATTAATTAGTAAATTAATCAATTGACCAGATATTTGATAGTCTAAATAATTTTTTAACAAATAAATTACGGCAAAAAGAAATAAGAAAAAATAATTGACATGTAAAAATTAATTAAAAAAATTATCAAGTACTAGTAAGCTTGCAGTCACTATGTAACTTATGTACTATAAATAAATAAAATTTTGTTTTATTAAATTATGAAATTTGTTAAATTGCACTGTACTTTTTTAACTATTTATTTTTTTAGATATCAAGCTCATTTCCGGTGTTACACTTATTAAGAGCTTTCATTTGAGTACCCACATGCATTTTCATATATTTTTCATATATTCATATATATAAATATATCAATAATATATGAAAAACTGATGTGGGTACTCCAATGAAAGGTCTTGATGAGTGTACCATAAAGATGAGCTTATATCTTTAAAAATGTCAATAGTTCACTAGATACAAGGTCATTTCTTAATTATGTATCTATAGATAGAGCATTGTCGAATGTAGCCTAAATACTTATAATTATAAATTGACTATTGGTGAGAATGATATGAAACCTTGAAAAGGCACAACTCCAGGTCAAGACCTTTTTAATGATACCAAAGTTATCCATAAAAACCCATTTTATCATATAAATACACTGGCCATAAAATTTTGCTTATTCTCTTAATAATATAGAAGATAATGACTATCTTAGATCGAATTTAGATTAACGCATATATGATATCTGTCTAGACTTGACATTGCCGAGACACAATTAAATCGAATTATTTAGAATTCCCCCAAAATAGACTTAGAAGCGTGAGATATAATAATATTGATAAAATTTACGGTAAATAATTTTAATTATACGATATTTTGTAAAATGTATGCATGTATATTGTAAACAAAGACAGTATCTCATAAAATGAACGCTCGAGTTTAATTAAAACAGTTAAAGTATATTTTCAGCGTGTAAAAAGGTAACGTTTATTGTTATAAGCAGGTTTAATAATGAAAGCGCTGAATTGCGTAGTCGATGATATTGCCTGGTGTGCTCGCAGCGTTAATAAATGCAACCATGCGATAACGTTTTTTGTGCAAATTGGATTCAGTGACTTCCATAGGTCAAAGTTACATTCATAAATACACCAGTATACTATTCAAAATTTATTTTGTTTTTGTCCGTAAGTAATGAGTAATTAGTATTTAATATTTAGCATTTATTCTATTTAAAGAGTTTCCTTAAAAAACCTGTTTGAATAATTATCAGTGCATAAATAATCTATAAACATTTAAATTTCAGGCAAATCGATCCTCTGCTGAGTTATATAATGTCCGACACTTGTATTGGTTGGTGTTTAAATTTTAAGTGACGAACTGAACAAGTAAAGTATGATATTTATACGAAGGATTTAATATAACGCTATTTTACTTTACCGACAATTGCAGGATAATTACCGGAATGTCGAGGAAAAAATGATCCATAAATAAATAAATAAATAAATAAATAAAATAAAAATCAACGCGAACATTTTCCTTTTATGCAATTTAATTATGTAATTAAATTCGACGCGGAATTAAAGACCGGATGAGGCGCGACAGTCAAGTTTAAATTAAATAATTATTATTGTACGGTTGTTTTTTTATTTTACAGTGATTAAGAAAATATTTTGAGGTAAAATTAATTATTCTTGATAAAATAATACAGTAATTTATCATATCTGTCAGAAGTCTGAAAAAATAAATTTATATTTTTTTTTTAATTGAAAAAATTAAAAAATATTCAAGTAAATTTTTTTTTTTAATCTCTGCATTTCAGTATTAAAATTAATTTAGCGGATATTTGATAATTTTAATAATATTTTTAACAAATAAATTAAGAAAATTAATTTAGCAGATATTTAATAATTTTTTTAACAATTAAATTGGATCAAAAAAAATTTGACATGCACAGAAATTTAAAAAAATAAAAAATGCAATTTTTTGGAACAAACTTTTTGGTTAAAAAAAATAAAAAATAATCAAATGACTGCTAACTTTAATATAATAAAAAAATTGACATGTAGAAATTTAAAAAAATTAAAAATCCAATTTTTTAAAGATAATTTATCGGAAAAAATTTGTTAGTTAAAAAATTGTCAACTTTAATCTCATAATTTCAGTACTCGGATAAAATAAATATTTATTTGATACCATCAAATATTTATACCATCAAATAATGATGATAAAAAAAAAAAGTAGAGATTTATATATATTTTTTAATAAAAAACCAAAGTATTTCCAGCGCATTAGCTGGATGCTCAATCGAGCATGATTATCGTCATGATACACAGAATAAGTATTTGTTCTGTTCTCGTGGGAAAACAAATGACTGCGAAAGCCAAGTGGATATTATTTTCGATAGCAAAGTGGGTCAATCGATGTATTTAAAAAAAAAAAAAATTTGCACGTGTAAACTGTTAACTCACTATTTATATTTTTCATATACAAGGGTATGCGCTTTTTATCAGTTTAAACATTCATTTGATTTTATCTGGTTAAATTAATTGAATGCACTTTAATATATATTTTATTTTGATTTATTTCCAGGCTCAATCTCAGATCTTTTGTTCATTTTTTATTCTAAAATTTTTCTGATAGATCTTTTTTTAATTAAAACATTTTAATTTATTTTAATAAAAATTTTTTGAGATAAAACAATTATAAAATACATTTTTTACTAAAAAAATTATGAGAAAAAATTTTTCCAAAAAAAAATTTAATGAAAATTTTGATAAAAAATTTTATAAAAATTCTAAAAATAATTAAAAAATTCTA